CCGGGCCCGCCAAACAACAGTAACAGCTGCAACCAAAAAATAGCCAGGCATTGTGGCGGGCGCCTATGGTCCCAGATACTTGGGAGGCTAAGGCAGGAGACTCACTTGAGCCCAGGAGTTGGAGGTTGCTGTGAGCTGTGATGTCACGGCACTCTACCCAGGGTGACAGCCTGAGTCTCAAAAAAAAGAAATAGATCATTACTGATTTGTGTGTTCTGCCCCTGTCTTTTCCCTTTTCTTCCTTCCTAAGTGTTGCTTTTATCATTCTCTTGCCTTGTTTAAATTTTACTAACATATATGTGTATCCTCAAAATTAGGTTTTGAATTTTACATAACTTATATGATATGCCTGTAATCCTAGTACTCTGGAAGGCCAAGGCGAGTGGATTGCCTGAGCTCAGGAGCTCGAGACCAGCCTGAGCAAGTGCGAGACCCCATCTTTTTTTATGGGTGCCTTTGCTAAATGGTTAGAGCACCAGCCCCATGCACTGGGTCTGGTGGGTTCAAACTCAACCTGGACCTGCTAAACAAAAAAATAAGTTATATGATGGTAGATATAATAGTTTTCATGCAGTTAATTTTTGAGATTGATTCATGTTGATGCAGGTAGTGGTAATTTATTCTTTTTATTGCTTTATGGTATTCCATTCTGTGACTGTATCTCTGTTCTTTCAGGGAACATTTGGGCTTTTGTTACAGTTTTTTGATAATTCAAACTCTACTACAGGATGTCCCAAAAGTTGCCCCTAAAGTTGTCATACATAAGGAAAATGGAAATTGTAGCTAAATGTCCCTTTATTTACAAAATATTCATGAAAAAATTTTACAAAGTGATAGCAACATGTAAAGAATATTTTGTATATTTATTTTATTATTTTTTTTAGAGTGCTGTGGCGGTATAGCTCACAGCAACCTCAAACTCCTGGGCTCAAGCAATTCTCTTTCAACCTCCGAAGTAGCACCTGCCACAAGGCCTGGTTATATGTACAGATGGCATCTCACACTAGCTTAGGCTGATCTCGAGCTCCTGAGCTCAGTCAGTCCAACTGCCTCAGCCTCCCAGAGTACTAGGATTATAGGCATGAGCCCCTGCACCTGGCCTGTAAATGTTTTTTAATGAATATTTTGTAAATAAAGGGACATTTAACTATAATTTTCCACTTTAACTATGTACGGTGGCTTTTGGGGTAACTTTTGGGACACCTTGTATTGTGAACATTCTGATACATATTTTCGGAGTATGCAAGTGTAAGTGTTTTTTTTGGAATCGGTATTAGAGTAGACTATCTGAGTCATATGCTTATACATTCAACTTTGCAAAGATAATGCCAAATTTGTTTTCCAAGATAATTGTACTTACGCTTCTATTCACAGTGTATGAAATTCCCAATTTTTCATAGCCTCTTTCATATTTGCTATTGTCTTATCTTTTATTTTTCCTAAAATGGTAGTTGCAAATTGTATCTCATTGTGATAGTTTTAATTTGTATTTCCCTGCTTTGTTATAGGTTGAAAGTCTTTTTTTTTTTTTTTGGAGACAGAGTCTCACTTTGTTGCCCTAGTAGAGTGACATGGCACATAGCCCATAGCAACCTCAGATTCCTGGGCTCAAATGATTCTCTTGCCTCAGCCTCCCGAGTAGCTGGGATTATAGATTCCTGCCACAACATCCAGCTATTTTTAGAGACAGGGTCTGGCTCTAACTCAGGCTGGTCTCCAACTTGTAAGCTCAGACGATTCACCCACCTTGGCCTCCCGGAATGTTAGGATTACAGGCGTGAGCCACCTCGCCCAGCCCAGGTTGAAAGTCTTTTCATGGTTTCCTAGCTACTTGTGTTTTCTTTTCTGTGAAACACCTGTCCATGTCTTTTGTTCATTATTTTTTGCCAATTTGTAATCATTCTTCATGTTTTAGACATTAATCCATTGTCGGTGCTAGGTGTTGCAAACCTCTTTTCCCATCTGTGGCTTACCTTCTTTCTTTTATTAATAGCACAAGGACTATGCTGAAAGGAATAACAAGGCTTATCTCCAAGGTCCATAAGGTGAGTCCAAACTGACCTGAATGTTTCCTGCCAACTACCTGTAGGTGGATTTCTTGTTTATTATATCTAGAATAAAATGCTCTGGAGAACTTCAACTAACTAGTGCTTTACAAGTTTACTAAAAGACAAAAGTAACAGGTCTCAGTGCAATAATTGTGCTTGAGAATTGACCATGTGAAAGGAAAATTAACATCTTTCCAATAAAACATAAGTGAGGTTGACTGCAGCTATTTCTATTAACTTTTATTATTTCTCTAGTTAGATTGATAAATATCTTCTCTTAATTAATAATTTAAAAGAAAAATTAGGACCAAGCATGGTGGCTCGTGCCTATAAACCTAGACCTCTGGGAGGCTGAGGTGGGTGGACTGCATGAGCTTACAGGTTCCAGACCAGCCTAAGCCAGAGCGAGACCTTGTCTCTAAAAATAGCCGGGTGTTGTGGTGGGCACCTGTAGTCCCAGCTACTTGGGAGGCTGAGGCAAGAGAATCTCTTGAGCCCAGGAGTTTGAGGTTGCTGTGAACTATAATGCCATGGCACTCGGGGGTGGGGATGGGGGTGGGCACAAAGTGAGACTCTGTCTCCAAAAAAAAAATTAGTTATTAATGTAGATCTTTAGCATCTGATGATAAAATGAAATAAAAAAATTATATATGAAAAAGACCATTCTTTTGGTTTACTTTTTTTTTTTTTTAACCAAATAGATTTTCAATACGTTCTGTATGGCAGGTACTCCAAATTCGAAGATAACTCATTTCACTAATAATAGTTATTATTTTTCAGGCATTCATTATATGGCAAGTGCTTTCTTTTAATGTTCATGATCAATCCATGAAATAGATAATATCCGTGTTTCACAAATGCAGAAACTTAAGGCTAGAATGGCTAGGTAATTTACCTAAGGAAACAGGCTGTGAATTTGCGAAGCCCAGAATAGATGCCAAATCTGTGACTTCAAAGCCTGTGGCCTAACTGTGCTATATTGCATTTTTTGGTCTATATTCTCACAGTCCAGTAGTGGGATCAGGAATAAATGGCTGTTACAATAGGGTAATGTTACAGCATCGAGGAGAAGCACCTAACCTGGATTAGTTGAGTCCATAGGAGATCTTCCCAGAGCCAAATCCTTTAGGATGAGAACTGAGCCAGAAAAGCTGGTCACTGTCATCTGATTATTTAATTACACACATTAGATTTCCTAGAAAAGGAGTGCTTCCTCCTGTATGGTATCTCCCTCTCCCCAGGGGTTCATTATAAAATGAATAACAATAAGAATCAAAAATGGAAGTAGATCAAATTACAAAGTTGAAATTTCCTCCTTAATAACAGATGAAAAAGACATGAGGCCAGACTGTAGAAATATGTTGGTAAAAGGAATTTTATAGCTTTTTTCGTTTTGTTCCTTTTGACCTTCTAGATTGGTCTGTGAATGCTGTTCTTTCAGGAACTTTGTGAACTTCTTTCTGAAACTGTAGAGGCAATAGCGCAGATGGTTGTTTTCCCTGGAAATAAGAAACTACCTGGGTGATCCTTATATAACACTCTAAGAAGTAAGGATTCCATTTTGCTAACTTACTTCACCTCAAAAAAAGTATAACTGGCCGAGTGTGGTATAGTTCATGTCTATAACCATGGCACTTTGGTAGGCTAAGGTACCTACCAAAGAGACATTGTACTTTAAAAAGGTGGGAGGATCATTTGAGACCAGGCGTTCAAGACCTGTCTGGGCTATAACATAATAAGGCCTTATCCCTAGTTGTTTTTTTTTTTTTTTTTGAGACAGAGTCTGTCACTTTGACTCCCTTGGTACAATGCTGTGGCATCATAGCTCACAGCATCTTTAGACTCTTGGGCTCAATTGATCCTCTTGCCTCAGCCTCCCAAGTAGCTGAGACTACAGGTTCCCATCACAAGGCCCAGCTAAATTTTCTATTTTTAGTAGAAATGGTTCTCACTTTAGCTCAGGCTGGTCTGTAATTCCTGAGCTAAAGCGATCCACTTGCCTCAGCCTCCCAGAGTGCTAAGATTACAGGCATGCATCACTGCGCCAGCCATCTATACAAAATTTTTAAAAATTAGTCCAGGAGTTTGCAGTTACATTGTCTCACACTCACACACAGCATAGCTAAACCAGGCACAGTGGTATGCACTTGTAATACCAACCACTCAGGAGGTCTGAGGCAGGAGATCTCTTAAACAGGAGTTGGAGACCAGCCTGGGCAATATAGTCAGAGCCATGTCAGAAAACAAAAGAAAATAGCTTCTAGTTCAAAGGTTAAAGGGGAAAAAAACTGGCCAGATGTGGTGGTTCATTCCATCATCCCAGCACCATGGGAGCCTAAGTCAGGAGGATTGCTTGAGGCCAGGAATTTGAGACCAGCCTGGGCAACAATGTGAAACCCTGTCTCTACCAAAAATAAGAAAATTAGCAAGGCTTGGTGGTGGTATACTCCTTTAGTCCTCACTGCTCAGGAGGCTGAGGTAGTAAGATTGAGCCCTGGAATTTGAGGTTGCAATGAGCTGTGATTGCCCTATTGTGCTCTAGCATGAGCAACAGAGCAAGACTCTTATCTCTTAGAAGATATATAAGTATGTATAAAATATGTGTAGCATAACTCAAAAGTCATCAAATTACTGTAGAAATAGCACCACCTTGTGGCTCTTGAATACTTTGTTTTTCACTTGACTTTTTAAAGAGACATGGTACTTTAACCCCATCAGGTTGAATTGAGTAGCAATAGTAGTACTAAAGTGTGTTCTTCAGATTGTTATGCTGAGGTAACAACTCCTGAATTCTCAATGGTTTTTTTTTCCTTTGTTTTTTTGAGACAGTGTCACTTTGTCACCCTCGGTAGAGTCCCGTGGCATCACAGCTCACAACAGCCTCAAACTCTTGGGCTCAAAGGATTCTCTTGCTTCAGTCTCCTTCCCAATTATCTGGGATTACAGGTGCCTGCCACAATGCCCAGCTATTTTTAGAGATGGAGTCTGACTCTAACTCAGGCTGGTCTTGAACACA